ATGAGTTCAAGCCCCACATTGGGCATAGAGCCTATTTAAAAAAAAAAAAAAATCTGAAGCTCTGTTTCATGAGCTGGCCTAAGCCCCAGTGGAGGACTCTTGCCCTGCAGACCACCAAGGGAACCAGGCCTTGCTGTCACTCCCCAGGACTGCTCCAGGAATGACACTTTCCCAGAAAAGCAGATGGCCCTCCTGAAACTTCTTGTCAGGACAATCTAGAATCTTTCTTCTTGGTGGAAAACAATAAAAGAGTTGGCATTCCATGCAAATGAGGCAGGAGGCTGCAGGGAGGGAAGCTTCTTGGTCCCCACAAGCCCCCAGCCCTGCTACCTGCCCTGCCCCTGACAGCAGCCTCGTAAGGGGGCTGTTCTCCGGGGGGACCTCTGGCACACTCTCCAGCCTGCGGCCAGCTCCTCCCCATCCTGTCCTTGCAGACAGATGACCCTGGCAGCTGTGGTGCCTGATACCAGGTCTCCAGGTGGCTGGAGTGAGTGGGGCCAGGGCCCCAGAGCCCTGCAGGGCCAGCTTCATGGGAGAAGCAGGGGAACACGATCTTGTGCCCTGAGGCACGCTGAAGGCTGGTGGGGAGCACTGGTGCAGGACCAGGGAGAAGACACGATGGGGGGTTGGAGCACTGAAGGGACTGGGAGATGCCACAGATTTCCCTGATGCTTTCCTATGAAATACAACCCAATCCATGAGAAACAAGAGGCAGGCTGTAGTCCAGAGCCAAGTTAAAATGCCGGCGTCTAAGAAGCTCAGACCCTGAGGCCTCTGTGCCATCAGGAGTTCAGCTCAGGCCTGGGACAGTCTACTGAAAGCAGAGTTGCAGACCCCAGAGTCCCTGCCCTGAGCCTGGAGCTTGAGCTGACACGCTGTCGCTGCTTCTAGACAGAAGGTCTGAGGGCTGTGTCTCACCAGGCAGCCCCCGGGGGGACGCAGCAAAAGACTGGCCTGGAGGGGTGCCTGGGTGGTTCAGTCGTTAAGTGTCTGCCTTCGGCTCAGGTCATGATCCCAGGGTCCTGGGATCGAGCCCCACATCAGGCTCCCGGCTCGGTGGGAAGCCTGCTTCTCCCTCCCCCACTCCCCCTGCTTGTGTTCTCTCTCTCTCTCTCTCTCTCTCTCTCTCTCTCTCTCTCGCTCTCGCTGTGTCTCTCTTTGTCAAATAAATAAATAAAATCTTTAAAAAAGGCCGGCCTGGAGCCATCTGAATTGACATCACCTCAGCCTTGCTTTGGGGATGGAGCAACGGTGCCTGGATTCATGGCAGTGGGGTCCCATGTGAGGGGTGCAGCCACTGCCAGTCACCCCTGCCCTCCTAGGCCAGCGGCTGGGGTGAACTCGACAGACCCAGACCTTCCAAGTCCTGTTGGAGAAGCTTTCCCCAGGGTGCCTCTGGTCTTGGTGCTGTCCCTTGGGGAGGTCTGCAGACTCTCCCCCTTGCATGGGCCTCAGGCAGGATCACTCTGCAGGCGATGCGCCATAGGAAGGAAAGAGAGGGCCTCGGTGGTGGTCTACATGAGCTAATAGGTACCAGTGGGCTGAGGGCTGAGCACAGCACACACAGGGAGTTTGGCCTTCCCTCGGCAAGTTCTCATTTTCTAGGGACTTCTGGGCAGACACTTCTTTTCCTCTCCCCCTTTGGCAATGAAGGTGGCAAAATGTCCTCTTCTCTGGTCAGTCAGACAAGACTTCTAGAGGAAGTAGTATCTGAAGGCCCAAGGTAAGGGAAAAGATGTCATGTCAAACCTGTCAAAGGCATTTAACTGGGATCCTAACCCAAGTGGCAGACAGAGCAACACCATGAGGCCACAGGTCTGGAGCTGATAGAGGAAGGGAGCTGCTTCTCACCTCTGAGTCTGATTTCTAGGTCCCTGCAAAGTCTCACAGGTTGTTAGAGGTTTTCAGAGGTCATCCTCTCCATTCCCCTGCCTCTATGAAGGATTGCCAAATCACCCTTGGCCTTCCCCTAACCCTAAAGCTTTCCCCAAAGGGAAAAACAATTATTGCTGCTTTGATCTCTCATCTAGAAGCCTGTGGACCTTTGCTCTGTGGAAGTTCTTTGTTATATCTAACCTAAACCCCTCTTGCTATAAGTGATGAATGGTGGAGTGAGGCCGAGAGACAGGAAGACAAGCAAAAATAACCTCTGGAGGTCGCCAGGATGCACCACCAGTTCTAGAAGCAAAAGAAGTTGGCTTGGACGCCCTTTCAGATAAGCAAGAAGGAGGCAGCTCTGCTATGTGCTGAGGAGCTCGCTCACCAGAAATCTCAGCCCTGGGAGGACGCTGGGCTCCTTCTCCTTTTAAGGCAACATCTGAGCTCTCGGGGCTGCACGAGCTCCGACAAGCCCCAGCCCCACTCATTCCTGGCTATTTGGAGGAAACCCATGATTAATCAGCTTCCCCCCCTCCCCCGCCCCGCCTGTTTTTCATTAGGTTCTTTTTAAAGGGCTGGAACACCTCCTCAAGAACAGACACATGACAGATCCAAGCCAACTAGGACCCCAGTGTAGGGGGAGTACCCTAAGAGGGAGTGGGGAGTAGTGCTGGATGAAAACCAAGGGGGCAGCTCAGAATCTAGGGTGTCGGGGCAGAGAGAGGGTTAAAATGTTGGAAAAGGAGTCCTGATGGGAGAGCAGGGGAAGGTTCTGAATGGGAGCCCTGGTCGGAAAGCGGGATGGGTTTGGCTGGGAGAGGAGGCCGCTGCCAAGCAAGGTCCTGGGAGCAGCAGGGGCAGCAGGGGCAGCTAGGCACACCTGGAGGTTCTGAGGGCAGGTGGAGAGGAGTGCCTTGGCCCTAATGGGCAAGGTTGGAGAAGGTTACATTGACTTGGCAGCTGCTGGTGAGCCGGTCAGACCTGAAACCCAGTTTTTCCTGAACTTGCTGGTTAATATCTCTCTGGCTTCCCAATTTCCCTCTAAGTGAGGCCTGTGGGCGGCGTGGGAACTGTGCAGAGAGCAGCTGGGCACTGCCCGGTGGGCGCTGAGAAATCCCCCAGGGCGTGCATTTGGAAGGGGAGGGCAGGAGTCCCTGCCTTGGGGGCCTGACCTCTGGAGCTTGGGCGGGACTCACTGGAGAGGCTGTGGCACCCAGCTCTCACCTCCATGCTTGTGAAGTGGATGGAATTTGAGAAGAAACCACTCTGAGCTGGGCTGGGCTGGAATTTCCTGGCTGAGCTGGGGCAGATGTTAGGTGTGTCCTAGCGGGGCTGACCCACTGGATCTCCTCGTTCACCTTATGTTTGCATACTCCAAGTCTCCCTTTCCTTTCAAATCAAGGTACAGTAAAGTCACCATCACTACAAGGGTGATCTGAAGGGTCAAATCCAGTTCTCTGGGAGCCAGAGAAAGTGAGAGGGCATCCTCTGGCCCTTGCTCCACCACCGAAGCCCCAGAGAGTCCCCTCCGTGCAACAGCCCCCATGGGGCAGGAGGAGAGAAGGGGCACATTCCTCAGCCCTCCCTCACCGGGCCCTGTGTCCCTTGGCTGCCTGTTGTGATTCTAGCAGAGGAGCCAAGGACTTTTGCTGCTAAATAAACCCTGGGGCTGGTCCCCAATGGCATGTGTTTGTGGTGCAGGTACAAACTGTTTCCATAGGACCAACCAGCTCTCCATTCCGTCCCGGCAGGGTGGGGGTGAGGAAGCTGGGAGGGCCGGGGTGCCCTCCTCCTCCTCCCACACCCCAACCAGGCACTCTTGAAAGAAAGAAAACCTTTCTAATAATCAGGCCATAGTCTCTTCCTTTTAAAAAACAAAACAAAACAAAACAAAAAAACCTTTAGGAAGGACATTCCTTGAGGTCCCAAGGATTGCTCCAGGTTATCTATCATAGTTGGACAGTTTAATATCTAATCTTAGGCAATTCTGAGGCTTCTTTGGCTCTTCTAAAGGGGGTAGGAAGCAAGTACTCTCAAAATAAGGCTCAGACTTTCTGCAACTTCGTGGAAGAAGACACAGGGCCCCACGGAAGTACAGGACAGCCCATGTTGCACGTAAAATTCAAGACTTTAATGCAACTCAGCCGACTCCCTTCCAGGCCCCCTCAACAATTTCTCAGTGTCCGTGTGGTCCATGCAGAGTCACAGAATCCTAGATCCAGAATCTGGCAGAGTCTTCTTGAGGTCAGCTCACTCAGTGGACTCCAGGGCTCCTTACAGAAAGGTGCTGGTCCTCAACAAAGTTTTTACTAAAAAAATAAGCAAATACTATGGGCTCTTTGAAAAGCTACCCATATCTGACGTAAAGGTATGGGCTTTATTCTGTTAATGTCTACCTTCTTTATTGTAAGCTCCTTCTTGTTTCAATGAGAGAATGATGGTAGATCAAATTTAGAAATATCTTTAATTGGTAAAATAAAATGTTAGCAGCCCTCTGTTGGTCCCTCCAACTTTTTTATTCCTTTGAAAAGGTATTATCCGTAAAATTCCAGCATCTGAGGACCACTGACCTACCTCCCCTTTGGAAGCAGGGCCAGCGCTAGGGTGAGGCACGCGAGGCACTCGCCTAGCCCAGAGAATGGAAGGGGGCACGCAAAAGCTCAGCGATCTGATATTTTTAAAAATTGAATTTAATGCCAAAAAAAAATCCATGACAACCAAAAATTCAAAATTTTAAATAAAGACAGAAGCAGTATAAGTGATGTTTCCTCTTGCCTCGGGTTCCGACGCGGCTCAGCAAGGCACCACTTGGAAGCATTCCTGCTAACTCACCCATGACAGAAAAGGGCAGCTCTGGGTCTGAGAACCCCCTGGGGAAGGACTTGCCACAAGCCCCTCAGGTGTTCATCTTGGCCCCTCACGACCCTGAGGTTTTCTTGAGTCTGACGTCAGCCTGTTCTCTGCAGCTTGAATTCCAGATCCTCTTAGGGTGTTCTCAATGGACATTGCCCTTTGGAGATTCCAGGGCAGTTATATAAATGCTCCCCACACTTGTCCCCATACTCACTCCTCTCCCTCTGTAGCCAGCTCTTCATGTTTATTTTTCTTTTCTGAATTCTTAGGAAAGCAAGCAAGTGGAGACCAAGACAGATGCCAAGAAAGGAGAAGAAAGGGGCAGAGATGCCAGCAAAAAACCCCTGGGCCCCAGACGGGACTCAGACCTGGGGAAGGAGCCAAAGAGGGGTGGTTTAAAGAAGAGCTTCTCAAGAGACAAAGATGAAGCTGATGGCAAAAGCGGAGAGAAGCCCAAGGAGGAGAAGCTCATCAGGGGCATTGACAAGGGCCGGGTCCGGGCTGCTGTGGACAAGAAGGAGGCAGGGAAGGATGGGAAGGGAGAGGAGAAGGCAGCAGCCCCAAGGAAGGAGGACGAGAAGAAAGGCAGTGACAGGAGTGCAGGGACAAGCAGAGACAAGGACAAGAAGAGAGAGGAGAAGGAGATAAGCAAGAGAGAGGACGACAGGAAGGGAAAAGGGGAGAGTAGGAACGCAGACACCAAGAAAGAGGGTGAGCAGATGAAAAGAGGAAGTGGGAACACAGACACAAAAAGGGAGGAAGAGAAAGTGAAAAAAGATGAGTCCATAAGCGAAAAGGAACCCAAAGAAGAGAACAAGACCCAAGCGCAGGAGAAACCAGCCCCGGCTTGCCCCACCAAGCCCTCTGAAGGGCTTGCCAAGGCGGAGGAGGAAGCAGCTCCCAGCATATTTGATGAGCCTCTGGAGAGAGTGAAGAACAATGACCCAGAGATGACCGAGGTGAATGTCAACAACTCAGACTGTATCACAAATGAGATCTTGGTCCGGTTCACCGAGGCTCTGGAGTTCAACACGGTGGTCAAGGTGTTTGCCCTGGCCAACACACGCGCTGACGACCACGTGGCCTTCGCCATCGCCATCATGCTCAAGGCCAACAAGACCATCACCAGCCTGAACCTGGACTCTAACCACATCACAGGAAAAGGCATCCTCGCCATCTTCCGGGCCCTCCTCCAGAACAACACGCTGACGGAACTCCGCTTCCACAACCAGCGGCACATCTGCGGTGGCAAGACCGAGATGGAGATTGCCAAGCTGCTCAAGGAGAACACTACCCTGCTTAAGCTGGGCTACCATTTCGAGCTGGCTGGGCCCCGGATGACAGTCACCAACCTGCTCAGCCGCAACATGGACAAACAGCGACAAAAGCGACTCCAGGAGCAACGGCAGGCCCAGGAGGCTGGTGGTGAGAAGAAGGATCTGCTGGAGGTGCCCAAGTTAGGGGCCCTGGCCAAGGGCTCCCCAAAACCCTCCCCCCAGCCATCTCCAAAGGCCTCGCCCAAGAACTCGCCCAAGAAAGGGGGCGCTCCAGCTGCTCCGCCCCCACCCCCGCCTCCCTTGGCCCCGCCCCTAATCATGGAGAACCTGAAGAACTCATTGTCACCAGCCACCCAGAGGAAGATGGGAGACAAAGTCCTCCCCGTCCAGGAGAAGAACTCCCGCGACCAGTTACTGGCCGCCATTCGCTCCAGCAACCTCAAGCAGCTCAAGAAGTTAAGTAGTCGCGGGCCTGGGCCAGCAGGGCTGGAGAAGAGGGGAGCCTGTCTGGGGAACAGGGGGCAGAGCGGGCCATGTCAGGCTGCAGGCTGCGGACAGACTGCAGCGCCTGTGTGGCATCTCCAGCCATCGCAGCCATCCCCCTGCCTCTGGGCAGGCTGCCCCGGTGTCCATTAGAGGGAGACTCTCTCCTTCCTGTAAGGAGCTTCCTTTAGCCTCTCACTCCATGCCTCTAACTTCACCACCCTGCAGCTAACCAGGGTCTCCCAGAAATGGAGAAACAGTCTCTGTCTAGTAGTTCTGCCTCTGGTCCTGCCATTAAGTCTTCTCTTCCCTCTTCCCAGAGCAAAAATGATCTCCCTTTTATGAATTCCCTCTGAGGACTAGCCAAATCCTACTGATCAGTGTATCCCAAAAGTCTTTGGGAGATTCAGCCCTCGGGAGGGTCTCCCCTGTGACTAATCAGTGCCCCAGACACATGAACCATCCCTAGAGACCCTGCTCCTCAAAGTTTCCCCTTCCTCCACCTCAGGCGACAGAGGCCATGGTCATCTGCCTGTCGGACTGGATGGCGGCAGCGAACCCTAGCCCCACAACATCATCTGGGGCTAGACGCCGCGACATAAAGGACAACCTCAGTTGTAATGCTAGTGGTCATTTGATGACATCCAGTTTTTACAGACAAGGAAAAATGCTTCATCTGTGTCCACAGCTCATTTATTCATTCCACAGACATCTATGGGGGGTCTGGTTTCCAGAAGGAAGGGAGGCCAGATGAATTCCAGAGGCTCCTTTGCTGAGCTCCTTTCTCTAAACTGTCTCTGCTTTGCCCTTACAGGTCGAGGTGCCCAAACTGCTTCAGTAGGACCAGACTGCCAGGGGGCACCATCTGCCAATGCCAAGGCTGCCCCGGCCTCGCCTCCCAGGGCCGCACAGACCCCACCCACCCCACCCTTGGCTGACCTGCTGTGGATGCCCCTCCTCTGCCATGGGAGAGCATGAGGCTTGGCCACACTCAAGGAAGGATGCCTTCTCTCTTCTCACTTTCCTTTTCTTGTCTCTGAGGCTCTCCAAAAATTTCTTTTATACCTGGAGCTGAGGTTTCTGGACAAGAAGAGTCCTTTTAGCATATCACTGAGAAGAATGCCATGCCTGGGGCCCAAGTAACTGGCAAGTTGCGAAAGGCCTGTGATCCAGGGAAGATGTCCTCCCAGGACCACATAACCAGCCCAGCCCCACTGCCCTCCAGGGCCAGGATTCAGGCCTCTGAGGAGCCCTTGGGGCAAAGCTGCTGGGCCCGAGGCCCTCTGTGTGGGACAATGGCAGAAGATTGAGAAGGGCATGAGGGCCCAAGGGCAGAAGGAGGCAGGGCTGAGGATACCCTCAAACCCCTCCTGGGCTAATCAGAGGACATGGCAGGGGCAGCTGGCCTGGTGGGGAGTGGGCTCCAGCTGGGAGGAGAGGGACAGACAGCAGCTGGTCCTGAAGGTTTGATGCCAAAGCAGACATTTCCCTCACACCCACCTGCTGTTGTATAAATAGCTGTGTATCTGTTTTTCCATAAGATTTTGATAATATATACAAGCCTTTAGTTGTGAATGACTGTGCCCCACCTCTGTACTGTACTGAGGGTCCTGATGCTCACCCTGGGCCCCATGGAGGACTTGAGAGGCTCAGGTTCCCTGCCATGCCATCCCGAGTTGACCACATAACAGGTTCATATCTGCTGAAAGTCCAGCGCAAGGGAAAGCCTCAAGCCTGGGTAGAGGGCTCCCCACTGACCGGGTTGACCAGGCCAAGGAAACTAGGCCTTAGCTAGGGTCTGCTCCTGACCATTCCTATTGCCTGGAGTCATTAGCCAGATCCGCTTTCAGGGGTGACAGGGCAGAGTGAAGCACAGGGCCCTGGGATGGCTATATTAGGCATGTTCAGGGGATGCTCATTCCATGACTCTTCCTAACTGTGGGCTTGGGGCCAGCTCCCCACAGCAGTCACAAGCCCAGAAAGGCAGCCATCTCTGAGCAGGCAGAGAAGCAAATGACCATTTGGGGAGCAGCCCCCACACCAGTGTGCCCAGTGATCCATCTCATCCCCCCCCACTCCAGCTGTAGGCTGCTCTCCTGACCTAACAGTGTCCCCGTGCCCTCCATCAGGTGTATATCAAAAGCATCTTCCTGATTTGATTGCATTAAAGGCACTGGCACCCCTTGGCACTGTGGAACGGCCACCTTGGGTCTGGGTCACTGGCAGTTTTCTCTGTCTTGGGGTTTTGTCCAACAGCAGGGAGCACAGCAGTTTCACCATCTTTGGGGTGAAGGAGGGGGCGTCCCTGCTATGAAGGAGGATTGCTATGCTAGGTCTGACCAAACCCAGAGGCAGGCTAGTCGTGGTAGCAAAAGGCTTGGATCCCAGGGGACACTCTGCGCCCCTTCCCCTCTACCCACTTGCCTGTCTGCCCCAAAAACCGAAACAAGGGCTAGGCCTGGGGGGGGGGGGGGGGGGACATGGGGCAGACACCTGCTGCCTCCTGGACCTCAAAGGGTGTTAGCTGGAGCTGAGTGCAACCACTGCTTCCATTTACCCTGTGTCTGTGGTTGCCAGGCCTTGGCAAGATGCTGCAGGTCGCTTCAGGTGCTCTCGCAATTCTGGAGATTTCCATTTTGCAGATAAAGTTCAGCCCAGAGAGATTAACCTACAAGTCCATGATCACACAGCTAATAAAAAGAGTTCAGATAGATCTACCGCTCTTAGAGTCACTTCTGATGAGAGGTCCCTCTCCTCCCCTTCCTGAACTGAGACTCATAATGGTGCCTCAGGAAAACACTGAAAGCCTAACCAAACCCAAACGACGGATCTCCAATAGCCAGACCACACGCACACGCACACGCACACGGTCCTCGGGGGCTGGGGGCTGATGAGGTCATCCTTCCTCTGGTGCCTTAGAACCTGATGCGGGAGCGCAGCGCCACCTACGGGTAGGCCGCGTCCCGGGTTCTCCCGCCGCGCCAGGAGCGCGCCGGAGCTGCGCTGGGGGCCAGGGAAGGTGGGCAGATGGGACGCAGCGCCGGGTCTGGGGGGCGCCTTCCCGCCGCCTGGGAGGGGCGGGGGGGGAGCGCCAGGCATCGAGCGGCCGCGTGTGCTCAGGGGTCGGCCGAATGTGGGAAACGGGCCACACTCGCGGAGCCGCGTTTCTGCGGACTAGTGCACCCACAGCCGCCCACCTGCCCCATCGGCCTCCGCAGGCGCCCGTCTGCCCGGTTTCCCTTCCTGAAACCCAAGGTGCGTGAGCCGGAAAGGATCTATCTTCGTCCGCACCCGCCTTTTACAGGGGAGAAAATGAGATTCAAAAGCAGCAAATGACTTGAACAAGTTGATGCATAGGTATTCAAACTACGTCTCTTGCCGCCGACTGCACCCTACCGACCTGGGCCAAGGGGGTCCGTCCCCGCCCCCCCCCAGCCAACCCTGCCCAGGCAGGCCCTCCGAGCCGCCTCACCCTGGCTGGCCCCTTTCGTTTCCAGGGGCCACATCCTGGGTCTCTCGTTCCCCCAACGGAGGGCGTCTTTGGGGGCCCGCCGCCACCCAGTGTTGCACTGGCTTCTCACCTGCGGGCCCCGCCCCCGCAGGCCTTGGGGGACCCCGGGCTAGGCAGGACCGAGGCTCTGGCGCTGGCCATGGGCGGGATGGCGGGCGCCTCCCCGCCCCACTTCTGTCGCAGGAAGCCAGTGAGCGAGGGGCTCAGTCGCAGGTGCTGTGAGTTGGGACCATGGCCACTCACACGGCCTTCTTTAAGAAGCAAAGATCTGGACGCCGGTCACCCACTGAGAGTGGCTTCCGGACCACCAGGACGACCAAGCCTGTTGTACCATGTGCCCCCCACCCCTCTGCAGGCTGGTCTCAAGCCTGGGGCCCAGCTACCGCTTTAGCCTTCCTGTGGTGTGGGGGCCAGGCCGCTGGCCTGGGAGTCCAGCCTGGTGATGTCTCACTCCCACCCCCTTGCCCTGTGCTCTACCTGCTCTGCCTGGCCAGTTTGCCTTCTCCAGGCCTCTAACTCTTCCTTTATCCCACCTACCCTCCCTCACTCCTTGCCTGAAGTGTCAGCTGTCCCAGCTGCCTCCATTCTATTCCTCTCCCCCCACAGTGCTCCCCTTTCCTTTCTTGGGGCCCCTTTGTATCCCCATTCACCTCTGCTCCAGCTCTCCCTGCATCTGAACCCCTGCCCTCACCCTTTGAGCGGTCTCCCCCTCCCCTGCCTGAGCAAGCACCAAGAAAGAGGTGCCCTGCTTTTGTGTGGAGTGCTGCTCTCCATCTGTGCCTCCCAGACCTCCCCTTCCGGTCCTCGATGTGCCCTCGCAGCTCAGCAGGACCCCATTTACACCACTCGAGTGTAAATCCTTGAGGGTCACTGCTCCTCCCACCCTGTATCTTCCCATTTGTAGGGTGCCTGCCTGGTTTTCAGGGGTGCTAGCTGCTGCTGATGATGGGGAGGGGCAGCTACAGCTCTGTTCTGCTGGCCGTTCCCCTGGTGGTAAGCAGATAAGATGGGGTCATAGATGGAGAGCTTTGCGAGAGATTCAGCGGGATTGCCCTATTTACAGAGCTAGAGGATGTGAGAGGGGCCTTCTCTCTGCTCGGGGCATGTGAAATGCCCCACTCTCTTGTAGTTTTCCCCTTTTCTTTAGAATTCTCAGTGCTTTGCAGAGTTAATTGGAATGTTGGGGAGGGGAGACTTCACCTTCTGGGAGGCAGCTCTGACTGGGATAAACCTGCCTTCCACCCCAGTCAACAAAGCAATTTTTAATTGGCCCTAGATTGTGGATTTAAGGATAATTAATTCAGCCGGGCATGGCCATGCATTCATTTACACCTCTTTCCTTAGGGAAACTCAAACCTTATCCTATCAACCTCCTCCCCCTCTCAGCTTCGAGAGGGGGGAGAAGGAAAGCAAGCGAGCGAGAGACTGACTGGTGGTTCCAAACCTTGAGATGAGCTGGTGACCCTCTCTCCTGAAGTGTGAATGAAGGCAGAATTTGCAGACTAGAAGCCAAGACACTGTGACCCCAGCTCCCGCCTCTTGCCCCCACCCTCAGAGAGAAGGTGGATCTGCAGCTGTGGCCCCAGCTCTGTCCCCCCCTGCCCCTCACCCCAGCATTAGCCTTCCCTCTCTGGTCAGGTCCAGGGGCAGACTCTCAGGCCCCCCTAAAAATTTCATTACGAAGGGGGGAAGCTGTGAATCCATGGACAGAGGTTCTGCCCATAGTGGTTTCTGACCCTGGCCTAGGAGCTCCCCTGCTCCAGCCTGTGTGACAAGAGCCTCCCTGACAGTATATGGGTGCCAGAGGGCATGGTTAGCACAGGGGCCATATGCAGAACCCAGCTGGAAGACAAGGCTGCAGGGCTGGAGGACCTTGGGTGAGGGAAGGAGGGGCTGAGCATATGGTTGTTGGGGAAAGGAGACCGTTGGTTGGTGGTGGTGTTGCCAAGCCAGGATGGCACTTTTCCCACTTGAATTAAAAACTATAAAACTTCTTTCCCTACATCTGTCACCAGAGAAGTCCTGAGAGCACAAGGACCCAGGTCCTCAGGGAACAAGGCAAAGGTGAGGGTAGAGCTTGGTGCATAGGCATCTCCAAGGGTGGAGGGTGTCTGCCTGGCTCAGCAGGGGCCTAAGGTCTTAGGGTCCCCTGATGACCCAAGGCAGCTGACAGCAACACCTTGCACCAACCTCTTGGGTGGCCCAGTCTCTCCGCTTGGCTCCTAGAACCTCTCTGATCAGGAAGGACGGACAGGGGTCACAGTTTCATTTCGTATTTCACCCACATGACAGCCCTGAGGCATTATCTCCATGGGATAGCTGAGAAAACTGGGTTCAGAGACACGCCCAAGGTCAGCCAGTGTCGGAACCCACCCGTGAAGCTAAGTGTCCCCGAAAAGGGGAAGGTGCCTTTGTAAGAATTTGCAATGCCTTTTATGTCACAGGGGCCTGACCCCTAGTACAGAACGTCTGTAACACAAATGAGCATCCTCTTCCCAGCTATGGCAAAATCCACCTCACTGGCTTTGGGAACCAGCTCAAGGGGCCCTCAGCCTGAGGTGGTTCTGCTTACGGAAGCGGGGGAGGGTGCCTTGCCGGCTGGGAGGTTGTGGCACTGGCAGCCCTCAGGGCCCAGCTGAAGGCAGAGCTCCTGGAAGGTGTGGATGGGCCCAATGAGGCAACCGACATGAGTTACAGCTTTACAGCTTTAATCCAGCAGTTGGAGCCCTGGCCGGTGTGGCGGCCGGGAGCAGGGCTTCCGCCCACTACTGATGGAGCCCACAGTGAGCAAACAGGGCGGGCCCCAGCGTTCCTGGCTGGGATCTTGGAAGTCGCGGGACTCTGAGAAAGCAGGGGCTTTGACCCAGGCTTTCATGTACTTCTCTTGTCCCACGTAAAAATAGTCCACTGACCCCAAGCCCTCCCCACCCACCCCTCATTCACGGCCAAGTTCCAGCTCAGCTCCTGATCTACATCCCTGGGGCTCCATCACCAGTAGGACCCAGGGCTTGGCTTGGTCTGGGGCCTGCTGAGTAGAGGACCCTTGCCCACCCCCAGGGCCAGATGCAGATACAGGAGAGGGGCATCACTGAAGGGGCAGCAGAGACACAGCTGGTTCCTCAGGCTCCTGGGTAGGAGGGCTGTGGTGGCATATAGGGGGGAGGAGCTGAAAGCCAAGCAGACAGGGTAAGGGTCAGGGGTGGCACAGGAGGATGGGAAGTGACCCCCAATTCCAGAGGCTTGAAGGATCCATGGGGAAGAGGTAGTCTGGATGTTTCCAGCTGAGGCAGAAGTCTGGGAGAGGGACTCAGGGTGAGAAAGGGGTAGGGGAGGTTCCAGCACGGAGGTAGGCGGCAGGCAGGAGCAAGGGGCTCCAGATCGCTCACTTACCTGCAGGGTTGTAGATAGGGGGCCCAGCTGGGTAGAGTGGATACTGGGGAGCAGGACCACTAGGAGGGTACATGTAGCCAGGCTGTGGGGGTGCGGGGCCAGCTTTGGGGTCCTGGGGGTATGGGTACACTGGCTGCACTGGGATGCCTGTCATTGGAATCTCCTGGCCTAGGTGGGGGACAAGGATCAGCATTCAGAACTCCACCTCCATGGTGAAGCCGCCACCTCCTGCCCTGAAACCAAGGTAAGCCCCCCCGGGCCCCTGCTGTCTGTTCTGGGGGCTCCAGGCTGGCCACCTGCTGCGTTTGCCTCCCCGACATTGCTTGGCAGAGCTGAGCGGGGAGCTGTGCACGTGGTCCCAGCGGGTCAGTCTGTGTTTAGCAGGTTTGCTCCCCTCAGCAGGTTTCAGAAGCCTCACGAGCCAGAGAACACAGCTTGGGAAATGTCCCACTTAGGCAAGGACAGGGCAGCTCCAGGGTCTGGTATCTTCTAATCTAGCAGAGCTGCCTCTCAGGGGGTCTGCCCTCAGCCTCTTCCTCCCACACTGATCCCCCGTGCAGCGACACCGTGCCCACGCCCCTCAGGGTTGGGCATACACTCGGTCACATGCCAACACTCAGGCACACAGTCCACTGTAGACTAGAGTACGTGCAATTAATGCTCACCACTACAGACCCCCCGGGTCCTTTCCAAGAGTCCCGTGCATGCACGTACCCGCTGCACCACACCACTGTTGACAGACGGCCGGCCGCGCACATCTGCACGTTCACATGCACGCATGTCCGCCCGCGTACTCACGCCCGCTGTTCACACACGGCCCCGGCTCGTTCTCGTCTCTGCGGTTGCAGGCTGGCAGGGGTGTGTACACAGCGGCCCTCGCTACCACGCAGGGCGCACGTCCTGGAACTGTCTGGTGCCCAGCGCCCGTGCCCCCCGTGCCCAGGACCGCCCGTACCTTCGAAGGGGCTCTGCAGATGCTGGCGCCGGCGGTACAGGTAGCAGCAGGAGCACAGGAAGCAGCAGATGGTGGTGGCCACCACCGCCACGAAGAGGATCACGGCCGAGGCGATGCCTGCTATGGTCTTGGGACTTGAGACAAAGAACAGGTCCCCTCACCTTCCAGCACTCGTAGGAGGGACTCCTCATTATGGTGGCCATAAAACTGTGCTCCAGCTCCTGGCCAGCAGGGGGCCACAGCAAGCTGAGATTTGGGGTTCCTTGAGGGGCTCTGCCCCGACCCTGTGGAGGAGATCTTAGGGGACCTCCACTTCCCAGAAGACCGTGCTGCCTGGCTGGCTAGTGTGAGGCATGCTGGGATTTGTAGTGCGCTCCCCACTGCATCGCTCCTACATCTACAACTTGATTAGACTTTGAACATGTTAGCACTGAAAGGCACCTTAGAAATAACCTAGAGCCCTTTTCTTCCAACCCCCCAATCATGCTGTCTCCTTGCACCTTTTCTGTATTAGTAGTCCCTTTCGAAAAGAAGTTTGAAACCACTAATTCTGGCAACCGCCTCATTTTATGAATTGGAAATAGTGACCCATGTGAGGATGAGTCTTCCCCACAATGACACAGCTACGGAGACGTGGACCTGGGAATCAAACCCAAGTCCCCTGCCTTTTTGCCAGAGCTTCTTCCACAAAGCTGCACCCTGTACCCACCCTACCCACCACCGAGCGCAAGACCATTAATACGCCCTTCCTGGACCTTCCCGGCCCCTGCACCAACACCCACTTCGTCACCAAGCTGAGTGCTAGGTCTGGGCTAAGGCTGTGGAGGTGGACATGGAGAGGGGAAGGAGGGAGACACGGAGGAGGGGAGGCCCGGGCAGGCCTCCTGAGAGGAGGATGGAGGGGGCGTGGGTGGAGGCGGGGGCCCACCTGAAGGCCAGGCAGTGCTTCTGCTGCCTCTCGGTGATGAGCAAGGTCAGGTCTCTGCAGCAGTAGCGCTGGTAGCAGGTCCCGCAGCAGAAGGTGAAGAACTCGCAGTTGAAGCCTGGATGCCAGGAGCCGTTCCGGTCCAGGTACCACAGGCAGTCCTCGCGGGCCAGCGCTGCGGGCGGGGTGGGGAGGGGGTGGGGGCGCATGGCCACCAGGCCAGCTTCCCGTCCGCCCTTAGCCCCGCTCCCCGAGGCTCCCAGCCCGCCGGCTCCCGGGACGCGGGAGCTGACCCTCGTCACCACCCTGAGGGGCTCCGCCCCTGAGCCTCAGCGGCCTCCCTCCGGGGCTGACCCCCGCGCCCCGGGTCAGCTTCCATGGCCCAGCCTCCCGGCCGGGTCTCCTCCCGCTCCCTGCGGACCGGCAGCACCCAGGGGAGCCCCGCGCCCACCCCCTTACCCAGGGGAGCCCCCAGCACCAGGAGAGCGGCCGCGGCAAGCGGCGCGGCCCCGCAGAGCCCCGGGGGCCGCATGGCGGGGCTTGGGCGCGGCCGAGACCGGCCGCCTGGAGCGGGGAGCGCAGGACGAAGCCGGCCGGCGGGAGCTGCTGCGGGGCCCAGCCCGCCGCTAGGCTCGGTTTCCTCTCCCGCCTCCTGCGAGGGCGGGACTAAGGCCCGGGCCGCGGTAACCCTGCCCCCCTCGCTCCGCGCCCGGCCCAGGCGGCCACCCACCGGCGACGCCCACCCAGCCCGGGCTCACACTTCCCCACCCCCTCACCCAGCCCGGTACTGTCCTGCGCCCCCGCCCCCGGCTCCACGGTGGCTCCTCCCGCTCGAGCCACCATGGCCACAGCAGGCCGCCGGACTCTGCAGCCCGGGAGGCCTGGCCGTGCCCTGGGCCCGCCCTCGGCCTGGGCCCAATCAGTATCCCGGACCCCAGAAGCCCTGATCCTGGTGCCATCTCCGAGTGCCCAGGCACATGGGCCAACCCTAGAGGGGCAGGGCCCGACCTTCCCCTGTGCAGGACCTCCTCTGCCCCAGTGTCCAGCCCAGGACGTCCTGCGGGGAGCAGGAAGGGCGGGTGGGGGGTGGCGGGAGAAGAGGGCAAAGAGGCTGAGGGCACCCCGCCCCCACTCCCAGAACACAGGCACCCATTGAGAGGCGGCTCAGAGCCGCTTTGTCCCCAAGGGCCTGGGCTCTGCCAGCTGCACTGGCTCCCCGAGATGGCCCCTTCCCCCTCTGAGTGGACAGCGCTGGCATGCACCAGCCTGTGGCCTCATCAGTCGGGATGATAGGCTGCTGCCTGGAGCCCATCCAGCTAGACACTCTTCAAAAACCCCCTTTTCACAAAGCAGTCCTGCAGAATACTGCATTGGCTAGGGGACCATAGGGAGGGCAAGAGTTAATCACAGTGGAGACCGTGTTTTTTTGGGGGGGAGCCAATTAATCCCCCTACAAATTTATACTGTCAGTGACTGTGCCCCCTGCTACCTGGGCTACCCTGACCAGGAACTGCCTATCACTCCAGGGACCAAATCAAAAGCCTGCCTCAAGCTGTGGCCATGGTGCGGTCCTTTACAAAGCACGTTGACATGTACCTCATTGGAGGGTCTCCACAACTCCGGGAGCTCAGAAGTTGACAGGTGTTCTCATCAATCCTATTATACAGATGGACAAACTAGGACTCAAGGGAGTTGTAGGACTTGCCAGAGATAATACAGCCCGTAAATGGCAGAGGCAACAACAGCAGGGCCCAAGTCTTCTAAATCCAGGTGGATTCCCCCTCCCCAACAGCAGAGGGCGTGGATAGTGAGTCTCTCTGGTGTTCGGAGGTGAGGGCACCAGGGCAGGGCAGGGAAGGTCCAGTAGAATCTAAATAAGTTAGGGAAGGGCAGCCAGAAGAGGAGCTGCCCTGTCTTGGGCCCCTGTGGTTGCTAGCACCCCCAACCTGAGAGCTGGGGTAAGGAAAGCATTAGTTCCTGCCCCAGGAAATTGCTGGTAGTCTGATGGGGGTCAAGTGATTATATGTCCCAGTGCAGGCCTAGTCACAAACACAGCAGCAGAGGGATGAAGAGAAACGTCTCACACTTCCCCACCCCCTGGACAGTGTGCCCTTTGCCATCCCTGTCTTCTTTCCTAGTGCCCAAGCTCCATTAGTGCGGGACCATGTGGTCATTGTATTCACTGCTGTCACCCAGCCGTTGCCGTAGGTAATTCTTGTAGGTTGAATGACGTTCAGAGGGAGGGTTGTCTCTCTTCCTGTCCAAGGCTGTTCCTCCCACGTGTACTCTAGACCTCATCTGATCTCTCCGCATTATCTCTTCTCTTCAGTGTCCTTAGTTTATCCTTTCTTATCAGCTTCTTTCCCCAGAGCAAAACTGAAATCTCAAGTCTCTCCTGGTAAAACAAAACAAAACAAAACAAGAACAAACAAAGCCAAGCCACATGCTTCCTGAAATTCATCCTTTTCTAGCTACTTTCCTGCTTTTCTCCTTTTTTCGTTTCTTCTCCAACTGGTCCTCCTCAAATCTTGCCCTTGTTGAGGCTTCCAGCTGACCATGACACCGAGTTCTCCCACCATCAGTGATTTTCTAACTGTAAAATTCTAGGGAAACTCTTCAGTCCACAGGATAGGAGTGTTGAGACTGGGACAGAGGGTGGGGAAGGGCTGGGGGCGGGCCAGGGGGGAGAACTGGCAGGATGGGAGAGCCTGGAGATGGAGGGCTGAGGCTAGCTCTGTCACAATAATGGACCTGAGTCTTGATAGAGGCCATGGAACTGGGCAGGAGTGGGAAGAGGCTGGGTGGGAGCAATGGGGAGGGACTGGGGCACCTGAGAAGGGGTTTGTCCAAATGTTTAGGCCTGAAGGGGCTTCACTGTACCTCGTTCGCTCAGGGCACACAGGAGCCTCTTCCCCTTACCAAGCCTGTCTCCTGGGCCCCAGTGAGGGGCAGAGGCACTTTTCTGGAAAAGGAGAGGCAGACAGTAATTAATTTGTGATCAGATGAGACAAAATATGAACTTTGCCAGTAGCAGGCTCTCCCCAGGGGGGCCTGGAATAGGATAATAGTAATGCTAGCAGCTAACACTGCAAATGAATTTGTCCCATCGTACAGGGGTTGGAAGCGCATTTTCCCGGCTTACCCAGCTGGGATTTGGAGGTGGGCTTCTGTGACTTCTAAGTCCAGGCCCTTGCAGTCCACGGCCTGCCTCTCCCGTAATATGTCTAAAATGCTCCACGCTATGCTTGGCATACAGAACGCATACTTGGGGAAACTTTGATACCCAGCCCTTATCCCCAGCAGAAGTCTCCCCACTCCTATGTGGGAAGATAGCGGGATATTTAGGGTGGGGAAGGGCAGTGGAAGCCGGGCAGAGAGGAGGGGCTAGGACCAAGCCTGTGACCCAGTTTGGGCTTTGCCTGGGGCTATGGTACCCGAGTGAACGAGCTGCTGAGTCATCTCACTGCTGGGCTGAATGACCAGCCCAGGGCTCCTCCCCACCCCCTTCTTGTTCCTCTTCAAATCAGAGCTGACTGAGTAGGCCTGGGCTCTTCCAGGGCCTTCCTGCCTTCCCAGGACCAGGGCCTTGGAGCCTCCATTCCAGAGGCTCCTGCCCCACCCAGCTGTCTGGCTCAGGGGGATTCTGGGCCACTGTGAGATAAGGGGAGCTCCATTCCTCTCCCCTACTTGCCTCCAGGTTAGTCCCATGCTTTCTCCAGTCCTCCTCCTCCCAGCTGTCCTCTGGCACAGTCACCTCCTGCAGATAGATAATTACTCATTTCTTTCTTCCCGAGGGCCCTGAGACCTTTCCTCATTGATTTAATCTCATTACACCCACTCCAGGGTGTCAAAGACACACTGATTCTTCCTTGCAACCCAGGGCTGGGGAGAGCAAGCCCCAGATGAGCCCCAGAAACTTGGCCAAGCTCTCATGGCTTAGCTGGGGACTGAAGGAACCAGATCTTCTGGCTCCCAGTGTCCCGAAGTAAACAAACATCTCTCTTGCACATAAGGTCTTCCCTGGTGTCTAGCTTTATTCTTTCTCAGTGCAAATGAAAGACTATGACTCTCGAGTTTGTCCTCTTGATGGGAGGGGTCTGGAGGTGGGTGAAGGACAGTGGGGATCAGCCTCACCGTGGGCCCAGCTACTGGTAGGAAGGAGCACTCTTCTAGCAATGCCTTTGCAGGATTACCTGTCCCAGAATGCCAGGCTGCTGCTTCTTTGCAGAGGCCCAGGGCAGCCTGGGCAGTACTTGCACAGCCTGGGCCTCAGGAAAGGAGGGGTTAGCTGGGCTGGTTTGGGTGGCATCTGGGATCAGCCTGCCCTGGGGGGGCTGTGGGAGCAGTGCCAGTCACAGGCAGCCAGTGCTCGCCTCAGGAGCCCAGCCCAACCAGTGGGGCAGACGGGGAGGGCCAGGTTATCTTTAAATGGCACCTTACTCAGACTGCACCTCTGCCAGCTGGGTAGGGTGGGGGCAGACAAATGTTATTTTGGGATCTGAGAGTAAGGAAGGAAGACGGTTCTGTTTACAGCTCTCTCGTTTATCCCCACTCCCTCTCTGAAGGGTTTGGGGACATGGGCCTCAGCCGGTCCTTTCCACCCTGGGTCCTGTTTTCAGCCCAGCCCTGTTATTCAGGGGCACAGAGGGGGAACTGTTGGACTGACAGAGGCACAGGGCCTTTGCTGTGTGACAGGCTCTACAAGAACAAGTTTGGGTAGTGAGAGGTGCTTTGGGCTTGGAATTAGACTAATGGCGCCATTACTGCCAACTATAAGGCAGCACTCCACAGGGCTTAGTATCATGTTGACTTTAATCCTCAAAATGAGTCCCTGATGCAGATACTAATATTATACCTGTTCTGTGGATGAGGAGATGGACGTACAGGTAATTTAAGTAGCTTGCCCAAAGTCATCCAGCTGCTAGATGGCAGAGCCAGGATTCAAACCCTAGCAGTCTGGCTCCGGAATTCATGCTCTGAACCCCTAACCAGAGCATGAGTCCCGCCCTGTCTCTTACTGGCTCTGCAGACTTGGAGAAGCCACCTAATCCCTCTGGGCTGGGCTTCCTCTTTGTAATGGACTCTAGTTCAGCCAAACCCACTAGAATCCTCAAGTCAGCTGGCAGAGGCCCTCTGGCCCATTCTCTCTCCCTGTTCAATGGAAAAAGAATTTACTCAGGGTCACATAACAGGTCACAAGCAGAGCTCCAACCCTCTTGCCTCTACATATATTTCTGTGCTCTTGCTAGCAAAGCTCCGTGAGTCAGAGATGAGGCAAGGGAGCCAACCCAGTGAAGGATAGGAGATCAGGTGTGGATCCGCAATCACAAAACCAGGTGTAAAAGAAACGCCACATCGCCCTTCTTTCCATCCAGTTAGATCAGACCAAGTCTCTACCCTCCCAGGTGGTGGGGAATGATCTGTCCCCCTTCTGGGATCACGAAAAGGTCCTGGGATCTCACACAGTGCAAAGTACTGAGGGTGGGCCCTGCAGGCCTCGTCCTCTGCCATCCAGGGGCTGGCAAGTACAGCAGTCCTGGCCTGGGTGCCACAGGCACAGACACTGTTCTCCAGAGCCCGGCACCCAGCAGCCTGCCTCCCCAGGGACTCCGTGCAGTCCCTTCCTTAGAAGTCCTCCCATCCAGGATCCGGGCAGGGTCCCCGCCATTCAGGCCCCATGGACTTCTGCTCCTTCCTTTCTTCTGGGACCCCCTCCCCTTCTTCCTCTGTGACCCTGAGCCTTGTCTCAGTGCACTCAAGCTTTTACAGAGGCTTCAGAAGCATGCTCTGCTTTCCACCCTGCAAAAGCAACTAAGGCAAGGAAACGCAAAGAATTTGGCTATGTTCTTGGACTAAGTAGAGGGGAAAAAACCTAGGGGAAGCAAGCCAATACATCGGTAACTTATAATATCATGCAGATCCTCACAGAAAGACTGCTTAGCAGGTGGAAGGCAGGAGCTGTAGCCACCACCTGTTTCTATCCTGTTCCCAGGCAGGATGGCAGTTCTGCAGTTCTTCCTCACAGAGCTGGCCTCCTGAAGGCTCCCTGAGACCCTAATTTAGCAGCAGCATCTGTGAAGCCGAACTGAATCATTCTAATCCAGTGAGTCAGGGAGACGGAGCCAAACATAGCTCCCAGCTACTGGAGGGCGGGGGAGACACAGAGAGAAGCACTCTCTCCCGTTTGAAGTGCTTCAATGAAGTCATCTTTAATTCTAACTACAACTCTGAGGTAGGTATTAGTTCTCCATTTTACAAATATGGAAACCAAGGATCAGAAAGGATGTCACTTACCGCAGCTTCCTCCTCACCTTCCGGCTATGCCGTCATGCCAAGTTGCAGCAACTCGAGACTTGAAGGGACTTCCTAGGCCTTCCAGTCAGGGCAGCGTTTCCTCCTTTTCTCTTCCTACAGCACACCTGCCGTAAAGTCATGTGTACCATACAGGTCTAAAACACCGGTGTAATTCGCAATTTTAGGAAAACAACAGTAATGCCACTCATTTCTCACGTACTCAAACAAAACATAACACAACAAACCCCAAAACAAAACAAAACAAGAATGTGAGGGTCCTTGTTAGATAGCTGTTGAACCTGTACCAATCCAGCAGAGAAAGATAAATAATTCACAAATGGTAGAATTTTATTAACAATCATTTCAGGCTGCTTTGTTACCCAAATCCTGCCCATCAGCTGTCACTTTCGGAAGACCTTTCTCCACCTGTCATCAGGGCCCACGGACTCTCCTTTTTCAGCCTTTCACTGTCTGGCCTCTTTCCCTCCATCTCCTCCTGTTACTCGGGTCTCTCACTTGCACCCCTGCCCCCAATCTCCCCTTCTAGTCATGCTTGGACAGACATCAGAATGCTTTCCAAAATGCAAACCTGATCATGCCACATCTCTGCCTAAAATTCATGAGTGGTCACCCATTCCCGGAAGAGGGCAAGGCCTACAGGATCCCTCCCCTTCTGGCTCCCACTTGTCCCCCAGCTGATTTCTGGCCAAGAGCCCTGTGAACCATAAATTCTAGTACTTTTTAACCCGTGTATAAGCTGAAAATGCAATCGTATTCTGGGATGGTCTTTTCTTAAAGATTATTTTCTCTGGAGTGTCCTACTCCACCCTTGTCTGCCTGACAAATGCACAGAGGCAACAGAAAACTGGCAAAAAGTACAAAACCTACTCGGATCCGAATCACACACTTTGCTATGTGACTTTTGGCAGGTAACATTTAATAACTCTATGCTTCAGTTTCATCAGTCTGTGGATGGGGTAAACAAAAGTATGCACTTTGTAGTTATTAGATGGTCTACACGAGAATCCAAGTAACACTTTGGAACAGTCATTGGCATTTAGTGCTTCTGAAACCTTAGCAGTTGTTAGCCACCTTGCGAGTGCGCAGTTTAAGGGTCCCCTTCTCCATGCAACCCTGCCTGACTTCTCCCAGTTACCATTAACCATTCCTCTTTCGGGTAGTGAGAATTGACCCCAGTACTTCTCTCATAGTACTACCCACATCTGCTGCATTATTTCTGACCCCCTACTGGGCTAGCTTCTTGAAGGAAGGGGCCAAGCCTCTCCAGCATCTAGCACTGGCCTTGCATGGAAAAAAAGTTTAGTATTTGCTGAACAGAATAAACACATAGTGGCCAGAAATTGGCTTTGAGTTTATCATCTACTTATTGGCCGTAGGTCTGCCTGGCTGGGGTGAGAAGTATAGAATGTCTTTCACTGGACAATCCTTTCGGTTTCCAAAGCAGTGTCCTGTTTTCCCTGAGTCTTCTCGGCTCCTTCAAGCTTCTTTCCCGTGACACAGCTTGGGGCCTCCAGTTCTTGGTTTTCCTCTTGCAGATGGGCTCACCGTCTGTCAGGGAGCCTCCTGTTTGAGCACCATAATGGAACAGAGCACTCTAGGATTGCTGACAGACACAGAGGACCGAAATGATCTTACACAATCTGTGCCTACTACCCCAGCCAGGAGTACACTGGAGTTTAGTGAGGACACGTTAACAGTTCCTGACATCATAAACACTTATTACTGCACAAAGAATTGTTAACAAGAGCACAGTGCTCTGTAATCCTTAACTCTCTTCATACTCATCCATCTGAATTTTGAAAACAACCTTACCTTTAAATTCTGCCTATTTTTAAAGCTTATATAGTTGTTTGAATCCTAAATTGTCATCCTTCCCAGGAGTTCCTGTTATCTAAAAATCTGATCGGCTGATCAGCAGGGAAGCCTGGGTGGCTCAGTCGGTTATGCATCTGACTCTTGATTTCTGCTCAGGTCATGATCCCAAGGTTGAGAGATGAAGCCCCATGGAACCTGCTAGGGATTTTCTCTCTCCCTCTAACCCCTCCCCCCATCTAAAAAAAAATCTGATCAGCAACTCTATCTAGTACTGTTTCTTTTGTAAATGGCCTCAAGTCCTCTTTTGGAATGGGTAAAACATTAAAAAAAAACCCTCATCTGTCATTAATATCAAAGGAGGGGCCAAGGACAGAGCCCTGGGGCACAGCATAAACCATTCCACAATAAGCCAGTTTGTAGTCTGAGAGTTGGTGGACAGTAACCAACTTCTCCATTTCCCTAATGCTTTGATTTTACCGTGTCCAGATTTTATCTGTTAACAAAATCAGACTACGAGTCTAGTTGGGCATCACTTGCTCTGAATTCATAATGAACATCTATTAAACTCCAGTGATTACAACATTCTTATTTATCACCTCAAGTCATCTGTCTGTAGTCCCGATCAATGTCACACATCTGGCAGGATAGTCCCTGTGTCACAGATCGGGCAGGGACTTATCATAACCAGCTTCCTTCTGTTCTTGGACTTCCACCTCCTCTATCTTCTGGTTGTTTCTTCCGTTTTCCCTTCAGTTCTTTCCACTAAGAGCTCAACACACTGCTGGCAAAGCCCTTGGTGTCCTAGCTGTTACTCACCAGGCTCGGGAAACCTGAAGTATTTTAGAACAGCCCAGCGCTCTCTCATTCCCTTGTTTATCTTATCTTGAACTTCAACTCCTTCCAACCAGTTAGCCCTGATCTTTTAGACCCAAGGTAAGTTCTTTGGCCAAAAGACCAGGAGACAAAATAGGAGCTAGAGTTCAACTTTCTGTCAATACTACTGGAACTTTCTGTCAATACTACTGGACTCAAGCAGATCTTTTTTCTCCCTGCTGACGGTGGACATAGTCTCTGAACTCTTCCTCATTGATAGAATGGGAATATTATCCACTGTGTACCTGCTGTAAAGGTTAAATGGGATGATGTGAAAATGCTGTGGGAGCAAAGGAAGTGCCTGCACACAAAGGGGTCCAAGACCCTCTGCTCTCATCCACAACAGTATGTCTGTTAGGCAAGGGTGGCCGCCTGGATGATACGAAGACCCTTTCCTTCAGGACTTAGGTTTTCCAGTCCTCCCCAAAAATCAGCAAGAGAGGACCTTTGTCAAGAGATCACTTTTGGCACTAGATACAGACTCTTTTTTTCTAATTAGCAGGCCCAGAAGGGGCCCATATCATTCTATGTGTGGGAGCCCCAAGCCTTCCCAAACTCAGCAATTCAATGCCAATGGCATGAGACCTTTCTTTTGTGCCACAATCAGGAGTTGATTTGGCCTTATGTAACCTTCAGCACTGAAACCAACTGGCACTGCCTTGAGATCAACTATGGAGTTTGTTTCTAAGGCTGACTGTGGTTTTCCTGAGCACCAATTGGCCAGACCTTCTATATTTCCCCAGTATGAGCAACTCTCCCAACTCAAGGGGGAGAAACAGCAGGGGCAGTTACCAGTCTCAGAACCTGGCTGGCAGCGGACCATGCTGTGCACACGTCCTCAGGCTTTTCAAAGATAGTAACGTTAACAGACACTTTCCCCAGCTCAGATGTGACAACTGTACACCAGGGACACCTAGTGGCGTGAAATCACTATTAGCTACAAAATCCTTAGGCTTCCGTAACAGTCCTGTACAGTAAATGCCCCACAAGTGGGGCCCTTTCCTCAAGAACAGAGACTTAAATTCACTTTATATTCTGTTTCCTGTCTGCAAGACCATCAACCTAAAGAAATCTTCTGTAGCTACTAAAACTGAGGCACCAGGTGTGGGCACTATCAAAAAAGGGAATGCTGGGCTTTGCCTTCCTCCCCTTGATTTATTATCCTCATTCACCCACAACACACTGAAATTCCCAAATAAGGGACCACCCTTAAAAATACTTGATTGGATGATACTAGTTCTCTAAGAATCATTTTGAGCTAGCTTAGCTAAAACACACTAGGGTGTCTACATGGCTCTGCCTAATCTTTTTCCCCTTATTTTTATTTTCCTTCTAAAAGGAACAGAAGGCAGATGTGCTGGTACACCTTATACCATGCGGACTAAATTCATTTGTAAAGATTACTTTACTCTCCTAGAAAAATACACATTGCAAATTTGAGGGCTACAACTTAACCACTTTAGAGGATTTCTGAGGGAGATGGGGTAACCTTTGAATATCAGACTGTGTGGTGACGTGTGGGAGAGGAATATTAAATATGGTTGTATCAGGAGGACTTTTAAAAAAATGTTTTTCCTTTTTTTTTTCCTTCTAAAAAAGGAAAACCAACGTGCCATCTGTCTGGCTTATTTTGTGTGTGTGCATGTATACACAGGGATAGCTTAGGGGGAGGGGCTGTGTCATGCAATGAGGCAAAAACAAGATGACTTCCTTTGACAGGGGAGCCTTAGTGTTATAGGAGGGAGACAAGGAGAGGTCACTGGAGAGGGCTCAGAATGTAGCTCTCTCTCGTTCCTATGGAGAACCCAGAACATCTGTGGTGGAGGGCAGAAAGCAGAATCATCTCTCAAGGGTATTCCTATCTGAACACATCAGATGTCCTATGAAAGTAAACAGGTCTGTTTTAGAATATAAATGGTCATGACTTCCTGTGCTCCTGAGGTGGGGCAAAATAATCCATGAACACATAATCCTTCTGGGCAATATGTTTCTGGAGTGGCCAGCAGAAGACTCTAGGAACACAGGTGAGGGCACAGTTGGGGAGAAAAAGGTTCTAGAGATGGAGTCTCTTCAGGGAGTCTTTGAGAAATGTCCTTTGTTCCAGTATTCCTAAGTGACAGCACTGGTGAGCTTGGTCTGAATTGTCACTCTGCAAAGGCCAAGGGCCAAGAGTCAGGAGGCCACTCTAGGTTGAAAAGAAAGTACATCTTGAGGCCAGTTTAGGGCTGCAAAATGGTTTGTGGCTAGGCCAGGAGGAGCAGATGTGGAAAGTCTCCGTTTTTTAGATGCCAATGGTCTGCAGAACCCGCCTCTCGTTGTCATTAAGGTGGCCTGAGAACATTATGTAGCAGGGCTGCTGAGCGAACTGGCAGAGGAAGTCCGTGAGATATGCCTGGAGGGAAGAAAAAGAATGGCATTACTGAGGGTTCCCAGGCTCACCATCTGTAGCAGGGCAAGAACCCCAAGTGGTACAGGAAGCACTGGCTTTTAGACAAATGCCAACATCCTGAGCGGTGGCTTTCTATGTTCTTGAATCTAGTTCAGGTTCAACCCAGAGACTAAATTCCATAAGGAAACAAAATTTTCCCAACAGATCTCATATTCCACCCAAGGACCTTCATAAGATGGCCGGGTTGCAAGAAATTGGACTGCAGGTTTAACACTAAGGTGCAAAGGCCCAGACCACCCAGAGCCCTTGACTACTCAGCAAGACAGGAACTCTCTGCCCTGAAGCTCCCAGGATGAACTATAAATAGGTTTGAGGCCATATTCTTCTTTCCGTGGCTTGAGACACTGTCACTTGCAAGACATCTATTTTCTCTGGACATTCTCACCTGCAGATCAATCTGATAGAGAGGATCCTTTAGGGCATCAGGGTCATCTTCCTCATCATCCTCGTAGTAATCCTCCTCTGTTAGACACAGCCAACATAGAGAGGGGTCAGGGCAGAGGCTCCTGCTTGTGCCCCAAGCAGGGAGGCATTACCACACGGCTGGGGTAGGAAGGCTAAAAAAGCCCAACGAATGTTCCTTGTGGGCCCATCCCTCCCCTTTCTTTGGCACCCCATTCTTGGTACCTGTGCACAAAAAAGGTATTTAGCAAGGCTGTCCTCTTCTCAAACTGCTTACCATATTTACTTGTAGCGAGAATGTCAGATAAGAGTTGGCCAGCTAAACCATCCTCTTCCTCTTCTTCATCCTCTTCCTGGTCCTCCCACATATCATTGGAGTCATCTACTTGGAGATGAAAAGCAGCTGGAGCATGCTCACACATTCCCTTCCCAAATGCAAACAGGCCAGAACAGAAGGGTCCCAAGGGTTTCTGCAATGTGGCCAAGCCCTCCCAAAATGTTTAAATGGAAGAACCGAGGGTGTTCTGGTGGATAGATAAAAGGCTGAAACCCCTGAGAAAAACCAAACAGAAAGGTTGCCTCCCAGCTGCCTCCTACTCCAGCCTCTGAAGAGATTTCACAAGGTAGACCAGAAGAGCAGCTCTTAACATGTGTAGCAACGCTAGCCACATGACAGGCATGCAATAAACATTAAAAAGCCCCCAGTGATTCAATAACCCAAACTGGTAAATTTGAACATTTGTAACTTGATCTGTCAGGCTAAAAGTCTGCTGGGAGTAAGAGCCTCGTGCACCTTGACCCCACTCTGCAGGAGTGGCCTGGCGTGCGGCGTTGGCCTCCATGACGTTGGAGAGCTCATTGATGATCAGCTTCAGGATCTTGACCAGCAAAGGAATGTTTGTCCAGCGCTCAGGGTCTGGAAAGGAAAGGAAAGGCTTCTAGGCAAACTGTCAGTGGGCTCACTTCTGGCAGTGCTCACCAGACACAGTTCACCATCCCTCAAGCTTTCCACCATCCCAGACCATATCCACTTGCCACAGAATGACTGAAAGTTTAATAACTTCATTCTGCTTGGTGTTCTAAGAGTTCAGAAGTTAGGACAGATAAGAGAGTTCAGGAATTAGAGATAGGTTTTTGCTGGTAATAAAGCTTGGACACCAAGTAACTGAATAGAGTGCAATACTCCAGTCCCCATGACTTGCAGTTTGAGAAACAGCATAGGTAATTATAAACCTACAGCTGAAGGGGGCAGCTTTGTACTCGCTGCCTACAAATCACTGAAATCACAGGCTAAAAGCAATCTGATAACAAAGACATGCTGATATGGGTATCAGAGCCCCCGAATGAAGCTGGAAGTTGGGGTCCCTGAGATTGTTTTTGCCAACTTTCAGCAACAAGGAGGAACCATATGCTCTGATCCTTTGTTTACCTATAGCTTTCTGATTCTTTTTATCAAAGCCATCACTAACAATTGTATTTTAAAAATCTAGATCACAGTACATCCCTGCCTTCCACCCCATTTAGCCCCTAGGGAGGAGACTGGAGGGGCAGCAGCATCACCCACTTTTGGCTGACTTAGAGCGGGTGCGGATGCCCTCATCCATGCTGTAGATCTCCTCTCCCTTCACGCGGATATCCTGTAGCCGTTTGTCATCTGCATTGATGCCATGCTGGAGCAGTTTACACAGTGCCACAGAGCTAGCAAGGAAGAGCCAAAAGGGTCAATCAGCAACCCATCTAGAGTTCACTCCAAGGAGATAAGCAATTATGTCCTAAGACTCTTCTCTTCGTTGGTGAAAATTGTTCACAACTAATTAGGAGAGATAAGAGAACCTAGCTGAAAATGGGATTTAGTGTTCATAAGGATGGGCTAATGAGAACTTTTGAACTTCTTGAACAAAGCTAGGGTGGGCAAGGATCACAATGGCTGGCCACACGGGAAGGTGCAACAGGGTGATGAGAACCAGTGGGAGGCAAGTCGAGGACAGGAAGTTAGCAAAGCCAGGGTTAGAAGGCTTGGGTTTATAAAGGAGAATAAGCCACTAGCAGTACTTGGCTGGGTGAAGTCTGTGGCAGAGGAAGATCTCTAGCCAGCAGAGAGGGAAAAAAAAACATGGTGTACTTTGTGTCGACTGTGTTTTGGAAATTTCAAGATGGCAGCTATTCAAAGACACCGATTAACAATAAAGAAATAGAGGGAAAAGGGAATACAAGGGGCAGTCTGACATGTTGAACAAAAATCAATGAAGCAAGTCAGGGAAAGAAGAAATGCAAGGAGAGGGCAGAATGCCCACAGAAGAAAGATGGGCTCTACCTGACTTTGCCCTCATATTGTCCATAGAACAGATGCTGTCGGCTTGTCCACTCAGCCATTACAAACTCCAGGGCAGGTTTGCCAGTAGGTCCCGGGAGGCTGCACAGGAACTCCAAGAGGGGTTCCAGCTGAGTGTGCACCAGATGAGCGAACACCATGATCAGAGACTAGGAGGTAACAAGAAGGACACCTACTTCAGGGAAACCAATTTCAGAGACTTGGAGATGAGAGGGAATGGGGCTGGCCAGTCAAGAAATAGAGAACATGGAGATTTCCTTGTCAATATTTCTTGGGCCAGAATAGACAGATTTTACTTAACTGTTCTGCAAGGACAGTAAGACAAAGTAAAATACCTCAGGACCTGTATATTGATTTCCATCTCTACCACTTGGAGGTTGGGAAAGCCCTGTTCCCCACTGTCCTCTTACCTGCATGACACTGAGCGTTTCTGCCTGCTGCATCTTACTGAGGATGGCACGAAGAATCTGGTCCAGGTTCTCCCCCAGCTCCTGCCCTGCCTTGGAGATGAGGGTGGAGACGAGGCGACCCACAAAGGCCGCAGTGAATTCGGAGGTACGGGGGTCCAGGAGCTGGCTCACCACTTGCATCACGTACCACAGCCCATTGTGGCCCTGCTCGTCGTGCCACTGGGCCACCTGCTCCAGCGTCACTGACACGTAGGCCCGCAAGCACTCTCCACCATTCTGGGGAGACAAAGGTGGCAAATGAGATTAGCAACGGGGGGACAGATGTCAGGAGGCCCTCAGTCTGTATGGGCAAATGTTTTTCTTAGAGGCCTATGCCTCATAAGAGTAATGAACCTACAGGGTTTGTGGTGGGCACATACTATTGGAGTCAGGAATTTACTGTTACAGATATAGCCATGCACTATACAATCCTTGCTTTACCTAATCAGCTATCTCAAAAATGCGGATTTCCGATCACAAGGGATAATGGCCAAGTAAACTAAGTTTTAGCCATAAACATCTACTTCTAGTACTGGAAAAACATGTTTCAGATGTAAGCAATGATTACGGACACTATAGGTCTTTATGGGAATAAAGACAAAGCTATATGAACCACTGTCTCCTTAGAGATTTCCAAAGGCCTATTACTTTGCTGACTTTATTAAGTCAGAAAAGACTTTCTTATAGCTTCAAGTCTATGTTTGTAATCTCATCCACAATAGCAATACCCAGATACAGATGGATAGGATGTCTGGCATCCTTACATAATCTTATATATGTAAGATTACAACATATCCCAAAGCAGAGAATGCTTGGCTTCTGCAGTCCAGACCGTTCCTGGGTCCCACGGTTAAATATGGATTTGAGAGACCTGTATCTCAAAAGCATGAGACTGTGTCAGCTTTCTCAGGCTACTATACGCCCATGGCCGGTGGGGGGGAGCGATCTTCCCTCTTCTAGTCACCACAGCTCAGATACCTGCATGGTGGCATTGTCATCTGTGTGAAGGGTGCATTGTGCCACGGCTGGGAAAGCTTGGCAGATGAGTAGCTGGGAAAGGGGAGGCTTTGTATTCCGTACTACTGTAGTCAGGATATCAATGGCTGTCTGAAGGAGAGAAGAGGAAAACGAGAGAATCAGAACCGCCCCTAGGGTGGGGGCCGGGGGTGCCCAACAACCAAGATCCTTATTGCATGGATACAACATAGCAACCCAAAGAAAGCTCATTAATTTTCATTAATGAAGTTTCTGAAGGAAAGGAATTAATTCGATAGTAGGCAGTGCTCTCAGCCTCCTCCTGATAGCTCACTGCCTGCTCAGGTATGGGGGCGGGCAGTTTACGGCGGGGAGTGGACATTCTGGTTACATGGTCAGTGGCACTGTGTAATAACAGCACTCTTTTCAATTCAATGAGGGCAATTCGGGAACAACAAGAGCCATTTTCTTAAAGCCTCAAGACTCACCCACTGTCCTGTGGGCACAGGAGCCCAGGAAAATCACCCTATGAATCTCTAATGCCACTGGTTTCCTATCAGCGAGGTGCGATCTACAGGTGACATGTGCAGAGCGTGTGCACGCTCTTTTTCTTCCACCTCCGCCCACACCGGTGCCCTGTAGCCACTTACCGCACACAGTCCTGCAGGGATCTTGTCTGCTGGGGCCTGCATTATGCTCACTAGAGTGGGAATCAGCCTCATCTGCATTGGGCCCTGACAGGCTTCAATCTGGGACAGCTCCTTGAAGATATCTTGGGCCAGCGAGGCGACGACAGGATCTGAAGTGGATAAGGCAACACAGAATCCCCCCCCCAGTGGTCTGCATGTACTCTGCAAGAGCCAGAGTATGCATGGTTTCATTAAGTCAGAGACTGGCCAGTAATAGCTACTCCTAAAATGAAACTTGGCTCTTTTTCTGGGGCAAATCTTTAATGACTTTTGTTCTTATGAAACCTGGATTATGAAACCAAACGCTTAAGGAAAAAAAAAAATCCCCACTGATACTTTGTTAAGAAGACCATGAAAGTTTCAAAGATTGCCACAACACTCATTGCCAGGTTCTCCCATGCTGAAGAGGAATCATATACATCTCCTAGGGGTTAGTCACGATAGAAAAAAGAACTCCCAAAGCATTTCCAATGCAAAAGGCAAAACCCTCACAAGGCAGAGCCTTGTGAAGAAATGAAACTTTGGCTTGACCTACTTCACCTATTTAAGAAATATTTCTTCCTGTATCTAGCAGGAAAAAATAGAAAGTGTGCAGTGTACTAAGATACATGTTAAAAGATCACTGTGGCATTGCTTCGAAAAAAAATTGCTAACAATCTAGCAATTTGAGATACAGGTGCACTAACAGAACAGGCAAATTATGATACAGCCATTTTATGGAATATTATGTGGTGGCTGAAGAGAATGAGAGATACCTAAGAGTGCAATGTGGAACCTCTTCAGGATACATTCTTTTTTTTTTTTTTTTTTTTGAAGATTTTATTTATTTCGTCAGAGAGAGAGAGCACAAGCAGGGGGAGCGAAAGGCAGAGGAAGAAGCAGACTCCAATGCAGGACTTGATCCCAGAACCCTGGGATCATGACCTGAGCTGAAGATAGATGCTTAACTTACTGAGCCACCCAGGTGTCCCTTCAGGACACACTTTAAGTGAAAAAGCAAATCAAATAAAATGTTTAGTATGATGTCATATTATATAACTCCTACCTCTACATATCCTGTATTTCAATATTGGCGCTTCCTCTATAAAAACAAATATCCTCAATATTTTCTCTGGTAACGAAGCATTACACAAGTAAAGTGTTGTTAATAATACATACTCACTAATGAAAAACTTAAAATGTAGGGAAGTATTCAAGGAAAGAAAACACCTGGAATTCCACCACCTAGAGAGACCTACCCTTAACATTTTGATGTATTTTCTTCCGATATTTTTTTAATATATGTTATCTATAATTTGTCTAAAACAAACCCCAAACTTGGGATTATATATATATATATTTTAAAGATTTTATTTATTTATTTATTTAATTGACAGAGAGAGAGAGAGAGAGAGACAGCGTGAGAGGGAACACAAGCAGGGGGAGTGGGAGAGGGAGAAGCAGGCTTCCGGCCAAGCAGGGAGCCTGATGCGGGGCTCGATCCCAGGACCCTGGGATCATGACCTGAGCTGAAGGCAGTCGCTTAACCAACTGAGCCACCCAGGCGCCCCTTGGGATTATATTCTATGCAGTTTGGAAAACCCTCTATTCTCTTCTTATAATGTGAGCACTTTCCCATGGCTTTAACTTTCCTTTCAAGTTTGATTTTTAGAGGATGCATGGTATTACACTTTACATCTTTCTGGGGCATATAATTAATCTTTTTTATTACTTCTAAATTTTTGCTACTACAAAAGCCATGTGATGAACCCTACTGTTTGTAACCCTTCGCATGTGTCATTCTTCAGTATCTTTCCACATTATAGCTGTAAGCCTCTTCTTTTAGGAGGATTTTGATGTAGTCGCTCAATTTCCTACTTGATTGTTAAAGTTCTGAATTGTACCTCTTGCCTGCTAACCCTTTACTCGTTGTCTTTTTCCCCAGTTCTGACTGCAGGTCAAAGTAACAGGAATAGCTACTCTACTTTTTGGTGTTCCTGTAGCTCCAGTATGGCTCTCCTCTTTGCTGAGTGAAAGCTATTCTTTGCTTCTGATGCTTAAGATCATCAGACGCAGGGAAAAGTTTCACCTAAATTCACCAGCCATCACCTTCCCTTTGGTGTCCTTCATCCACACACAGTCCTGGTGCATACCGTTACTGTACTTCAGGAAAATGGCGATGGTGAAGGGGCAGATTTTGCTTTCCATGCTTGCTGTGAACTCTGGGTCTACTGTACAAACGATGCACAGGGTCTCCATCACCAGGTTGAGGACCTCTGAGCTGAACTGGGCTGCTAGGTGAATTAAGCCATCCAGGATACTGGGGAGGAAGGGCTGAAGCACGTGGGTACTCTCTGAGACTTTTAGTTGGTCACAATAACTAGAGAGAGAGAGAGAGAGAGAAGCAAGCATTACTCACAGGTGGATCTCTTAATTCCTGGTTCTTCTATTCACTATGACAGATTACAGCATTTATATGTGTAGCTTTATTTTTTTTTAAAGATTTTATTTATTTATTTTGACAGCGAGAGACAGCGAGAGGGAACACAAGCAGGGGAAGTGGGAGAGGGAGAAGCAGGCTTCCCGTGGAGCAGGGAGCCCAAGCCGAAGGCAGATGCTTAACGACTGAGCCACCCAGGAGCCCCATATGTGTATAGCTTTATGAAGCTACTTGTAGAGTTAGTTTTTACATCTTTCTGGGGCATATTTTGTAAACATCAGCACCACCATCTCTATGCTAATTTATTTCTGCTTTGTTTTTTTTCTATTTTAAACTTTCATCCCTCTCCCACTGTCATATCATTATATTCAAATTAAGATGTTAATTAAATGCTTTATAATTCCTCAGATTACTGCTTTAATCACATCCTTCAGATTTTTATATATTCCTGTTATTTTTCAAATAGTTACAGTGGTTTTTTTTTTTTTTTTTTAAAGATTTTATTTATTTATTTGAGAGAGAAGAGAATGAGAGAGAACACATGAGAGGGGATAAGGTCAGAGGACGAAGCAGACCCCCTGCCGAGCAGGGAGCCCAATGCAGGACTCGATCCAGGGACTCCAGGATCATGACCTGAGCCGAAGGCAGTCGCTTAACCGAGCCACCCAGGCGCCCGTTACAGTGGTTTTAAGACTTTTAAAATTTATTTATTTGAGAGAGAGAGGGTCGGGGGAGGAGCAGAGGGAGAGGGAGAAGCAGACTCCCGAGCACAGAGCCCAATGAGGGGCTCGATCCCATCACCCTGAGATCATGACCTGAGCCAAAATCAAGAGTCAGATGCCTTAAATAAATCTTAAAAAAAAAACCTAGACAAAACAAAAACAGGATTGTGGGGGAGGCTGTGAGTGGCTCAGTTGGTTGAGTGTCTCTGACTCCTGGTTTCAGCTCAGGTAGTGATCTCACAGTCGTGAGATCGAGCCCCGCATCAGGCTCTGGGCTCAGAGCGGAGTATGTTTCGGATTCTCTATCCCTCTGCCCTTCCCACTCGTGCTCTCTCTCTCCAAAAAATAAATCCTAAAAAAAAAAAAAAAAGTCAGGAGCGCCTGGGTGGCTCAGCAGGGAGCCTGCTTCTTCCTCTGCCTGTGCTCTCTCTGACAAATAAATAAATCTTTAAAACAAAACAACAACAAAAAACAAAAACCCTGTAAATATTTGGGGGCACTTGGGTGGCTTAGTTCAGCATCTGATTCTTTTTTTTTTTTTTTTTTAAGATTTTATTTATTTATCTGACAGAGAGAGAGCACAAGCAGGCAGAGGGAAAGGGAGAAGCAGGTGCCCTACCAAGCAGAGAGCCTGCGTGGGGCTCCATCCCAGGACCCTGGGATCATGACCTGAGCAGAAGGCAGATACTTAACTGACTGAGCCACCTAGGCATCCCAATATTTTTTTTTTTTAAGATTTTATTTATTTGACAGAGAGAGACACAGCGAGAGAGGGAACACAAACAGGAGGAGTGGGAGAGGGAGAAGCAGGCTTCCCACAGAGGAGGGAGCCTGATGTGGGGCTCGATCCCAGGACCCCGTGACCATGACCCGAGCCGAAGGCAGACGCCCAACGACTGAGCCACCCAGGCGCCCCCCCAACAGTTAGTTTTTTTAACATCTTTTCTAACACAACTGTTATTTAGTAGGAGATTATTTACCTTTCATGTTATAAAAATTTTGTACTTTTTGGAGTATTTTGCATCCTAAAATGAGATCAATTTGTATAGACATTCTATGCAATAAATTTGTATAATATCTGTGTACAGTAGAAAATTGTGTACTAAAATTCATATAATATTTATAGGGTTTAAAGTTTTCTATACATAGTTTTAACTTATTCACCTCTTATTCAATCAATATTTACTGAGTGCTGCTTACCATGTCCAATGGAATATAATTATTAAAGACATACTGTTTAAGTTTTTACTTTCATTTATCTTCAGAATAGCAATAAAAGTCAATAAAAACGCTGTTTCTCTATGTTAAAAGAACCTAGTACAGAAACAAGGCCCTCCCCAGGTACTCAATAAATGTTTTTTCCTAAATTTTTTTTAAGTGGCTTATAACCATGTTAGTTGTGTCAGATGCTGGGTTCAAAGGTCCATAATGAACAGTGAAACTGTGGGCTTTGATCTCTCAGATTTGTCCATAGACTTTTAAAATAATATTTATTCACTTATTTGAGAGAGAGAGAGTGGGCGAGTGGATGGAGGAGCAGAGCGAGAGGGACAAGCAGGTCCCACAACCCATGAGATCATGACCTGAGCCGAAATCACGAGTCGTACACTTAACCAGCTGAGCCACCCAGGAGCCCCAGACTTTTTGTTTTTTGGTCCATAACATCTTGATTTTCAACTCTACCTTGCTCTGTATCTAACTTTTCCTTAAGAGCTGATCTGTCATCTGGCCTTGGTCAGCTCTCAACTCTCAAACCAGGTTTTGCACCCATCTCTCTACTGGTACTCAGTTGTGCTCTACCTCGTCCTCTTGCTTCTCCACTCTAAGGATTTACAGTTACTTTGCTCTTCTGATGAACTTGAAACTATACAGTCTGGTAGATCATGGAGATCACATTATCTGCTTAGATCATATGGGATCTTGTATGCCACACTAAGGGAGGCTAGATTTTATTTTGGAAGCCAGTGTATCTCAAACTTTTTTTTACAAATTATTTCTAATACCTTCTTTGCCCTCCCCGAAAGTCTTCAAGCAAAACTGAAGCTCCAGGAAGATGCTATAGATTTATCCTGTGGTTTCACGTATCAGCCGGCATACTAGGACTTTGTTCTGGGGTACCTGTATCTCAGTTTGAAGAACACAACTGGAACGAGTAGAATTTCATTTACAGGAGCAAAACTATCAGGTTTCTTATTTATTTATTTATTTAATTTTTTTTTAAAAGATTTTATTTATTCATTTGAGACACAGAGATAGAGAGAGAGAGAGCATGAGCAGGGGGGAGGCATAGGGAGAGGGAGAAACAGGGTCCCCGCTGAGCCAGGAGCCCGATGTGGAGCTCGATCCCAGGACCCTGGAATCATGACCTGAGCCGAAGGCAGACGCTTAACCGACTGAGCCACCCAGGCGCCCCTCAGGTTTCTATTTTAGAAAGAACAGTTAGACAGCTAAAATACTACGGATTGCTATAGTGGAGGCTGGAGCAGAGATATCAATTAGGAAGCTATAGCAGCAATTCAGGCTACAAGAAGTTGAGAATACAAGCTAGGCTAGTAGTAGTAGGAGAGAAGAGATGAAAAGCTAAGGAACCAAGACCTAAAAGGCAGAGATCTGGGATCTCCACTTTTACTAAAACAGGGGATACAAAATCTCTTTAAGCATAAAATCTAAAGGTACCAATTTCTTAATAAAAAAAAAAAAAAGTACTGATTTCTTCTACTAAAACAGAGAATACAGGTAGGGCAGGCTTGGAGGCGGTCAACAGTAAGTTCAGTAGTGGATGTGTTTATTTTCAGATACTTAAAATGATTTCGGACAGTTTGCAATGATACATATTATGACATGGAAGAATAAATTAAAACCAGGACAAAAGAAAAGCAAAGGTGGTGTGATGGTCATTAATAGGTTGCTAGTGACATCAGAAAGAACAGTTTCAGTAATGTGATAAGGACTTAAGCCAGACCGTAAATGGTTGGGAAACTGAATAGGGAAATGATCAACTGGAGAATCCTGGCTGTGAAGAAAAGAATAGCTAGGATCCCTTCACAGACAGTTTCTAACCTGGGATCCACAGATGTGGTCAAGGGATCCAGCCTTTGATACATTATATAAATTTTTTTTTTAGATTAAACTTTCTTTTAAATTTTATAAACATGTATAAGTGTCCATTTCCCTGGTGTACAAAGCTTTGGTCACCTTTCCAGAGGTTTGCTTCACCTTTCAAGTAAATCACTGCCCATGTAGTCAGAGACTTAACATTATTCTTAAGTTTTCTTCACATTTTTCTGATTATAAATTTATGAACAAATCAACTTAAAATTTTTAACTTAATTTTTTTCAGCTTTATTGAGGTATAATTACATATACCACTGTAAGATATTTAAAGTATACATTGCTGTGATTTGATATACACACACACTGTGAAAGTTCCTCATCCCATTTGTTAACACATCCATTTTTTTTGTGTGTGAGAAAATTTAGGTTCTATTCTCTAACAAATTCCAATTATATAATAAAGTGTTATCAACTTAATCAGTTTTATATTAGATCTGATTTTGTTCATCTTACAGAGGAGAGTGTGTACCGTTTTATTAACCTCTCCCTAAACCCCCACCCTCCAGCAATCACTTTCTGCTTTTTTTTTTTTTTTTTAAGATTTTATTTATTAGAAGGAGAGAGAGAGAATGAACCCGAGTGGTGGGAGAAGCAGAGGGAGAGGGACATGCAGACTCCACACTAAGCCCAGAGTCCATAACAGAGCTCAATCCCAAGACCCTGAGATCATGACCCAAACCGAAATCAAGAGTCAGACACACAACTGACAGAACCACCCAGGCACCCCACTGCTTTCTTTTTAAACGAGAATTAGTTTATTTTTAGATTCTAGATATAAATGATACCATGCACTATTTGTCTTTCTCTGTGTGGCTTTTTTCACTTAGCATGATGCCTTCAAGATCCATTCCTGTTGCTGCAAATGGCAGTTCCTTCTTTCTCACAGCTAAATATTATTCCATGCATATGTATACCACATCTTTATCCCTTCATCTGCTGACACACACTTAGGCTGTTCCCATATGTTGGCTACTGTAAATAACAAGCAATGAACATGGCACTGCAATCTCTTCTAGGCTAGATCCTGTTTTCATGTCCTTTGGATATTTACCCAAAACTGGGATTGTTAAATGAAATGGTAGTTCTATTTAAAATTTTTGAGGA